GCTGAAAGTGCCATAGGGAAATATGTTTATCTGATCAGGATAAAATTTCAAAGTGGAAACTTCACACTGAAGAACTGTACAGAAGAGATGCAATTTTTTCAAAAAAAAAAAAATCCTTCCAATGGAGGATTCCAAAGAATCCTGCAATGAAAAACCTACAGTTTTAGAAAGTGAAATGAAAACTTTTCTCAAAGCAATCTGAAGAAATAATTCACAAGGAGAAAATGGAATACAACAGAGCTATTTCAATCTACAAAGGGAGGGGAGAGCTATCAAAAACCTAACAACAATATCCCAAAAATATGAAAGACACAGCAGTGACTGACACACTGGAAATTTTCAATATACATTCCAGTCTCCCCTTAAAAAGGAGTTGCCAAACACTGTAGTTACCAATTTGCCATGTGAGCAAAGCAGTGCTCAAAAGCTTTTAGAGCTAAAAATTGTCACACAGATTATAAAGATTTTGTTACCTTTATAATGTCTTTAGAAAGCATGTTTCTTAACCATCTGATAGAGCAAGAAGAACTAGTCCTCATCCTACAACAGGGAAGAACTGAACAGCAAAAAGTAGGAAATAAAACATATCCAAACAAGAAGAACCAGTCCTCATCCCACAACAGGGAAGAACTGAACAGCGCAAATACTGCATTTAACCCAATTAGCTGAGGGCAACTTTCAAACTAGGAAGGTCACAGGAATTGCTTTTGTCAACCTTTCGGCTGGCTGTAATGCTGTTCAGTATCAAGCATTACTGCAGAAATTATATAATCTAAACAAGGCTTATAAAATAGCTAAAATAATAGTAATAGCAACATGATGCCCAATATCATGCAACGGATAATGGACTAGGACTATGAATTCAAATCCCCCACCCAGCCATGGAAACTCACTGGTGGGGGTTGGACTAGAAAACCATACTTTCAATTTCTCATTTGCCTTGAAAGCCCTGTTAGGTCAGTTCTCTATAGATAAATCAGTTCTGAATTGACAGCACATAACGTACAAAAGTAATCACAATCCTTTTGGAAAATCACAGATTTTTTTGTTAATTTTCAAGGACAATGCCATTGATGGAGGATTCAAAAGAATGGTCTACCTCAGGGCAGTGCACTGGCTTCTATTTTGTTTCACATCTACAACAATGATCAATCCCTTCCCCCAGGCACCAGAAGTTGTTTTTATACTGCCGATCTTATACTCGCTGCTCAGTTGGACAGTTTTCTTAACAACTACATTAGAAGAACATGTTGCATATTATTATGGAAAGCAACTTAAACAGAACCCTGCTAAGACTAAAATATGTGGCTTTCATGTGAAAAATAAGCAGGCATACCGGAAACTTCAGGTTGCCTAAAAGGACATCAAACTAGATCATTATCTTACCCCCTGATACCTAGGTATTACTTTGGATCACATGCTGATGTATAAAAACCACCACTAAAATATAAAGAAAAAGGTCTGTGCAAGAACAGCATTCCTTGAAAGCTATTGGGAAGCGGTTGGGGCAAACAGCCACAAACGTTAAGAACTACGTCACTGAACCTATACTACTCTGCAGGTGAATATAGCTCATTGTGGTATAGTTCAGCCCATTCAAACAGAAACATAGCACTCAGTGGAAACTGTAAAATCTTTAATGGATAGCTGAAGCTAAGCTTTATTGCTAAAATGAGTTACAATGCACCCAGTGACAGATATTTACATCAAATGTACATCCACTCTTTGGTTACATCCTGCTCCTCCCAGATTAAAATCAAAGATTTTCTACACACCTATGAATCTTGAAGAAACAGCACAGAATGCCTGGACTATAATGAGAGAACTCAACACCTCTTAAAATGGATGTAATCTCAGGAAATTCTAGCCCCCAGTTGCATAAAGAGTTGGGTTACTTGAAAGTCACTTAATAGGCTATGGAGTGGAGTTGTCAAGACCAAGGTCAACCTACGAAAATGGAGTTTTCACACTGACACAGTCCTTTGTGATTACGGATAATAACAGGCAATTTCACACCTCTGTCAGTGTACTCTATGCCCCATAACACGTACTATGGAAGACCTGATGCTAGCTGGTTCAAATGCTCTGGATGTTGCCCAGTGCTGGGCAAATATTATCTGATATATTTATTAATTCTACTATTATGCTTCTGACATGAACAAAGAGGAAGAGATGCTAGATATAAAGCTAGATGCCAAAAAATAAAAACACACTAGAGACCATATTGCAAATATATGTTGGCTTTAGTGCTTCAAAGAATTTCAGAAGAAAATGGTTTATTAATGACAAGAAAACCTTTGCTGTATGGGTTACAAAAAGGTATGGATACTTTTAAAATAAAGTAGTGTGCCACATTTGTTTATGTGTATCCTCTATGCTGAACAGCAGGCTGTTGACAGGACAGAATGGTTTCCAATTGATGAAGGTGTTAGACAAGGTATATATTGTCTCTGTCAGTTCAGTCTGTATTCAGAAAACACGTTGAACAACAACAGCAACAAAAGATGGTTAGAATCAGATGAAGGGGTGAAAATTGGTGAGTTCTCAATAATTTGCAGACAACACCATGTTACTGGCGCAGAAAACAGTGAAACAACTGCTAATGAAAGTTAAAGAAGCAAAAGCAGGAGAACAACTGAACATTAAAAAGACGATAAATGATTAAAGACCAATTGCATAGCTTTACTATTCGCAGTGAAAAAGTTAAAAAGGATATAATCTTTTGGACATCACTAATTCATTGGTTTGACATGCATTGAAAGCAACAGGGTGGCACACATCAATAACAAAGGGCTCATTAAAACACCTTTAGTTAAATCTTTTTTGTGTTATGTAAAGGTTCTTTTGGAGTAAACTAGATAAATAATTCACTGGCTACACATAGAAATAATGCTAATAGTGCTGCTATGACATTTAGAAAGGATCCCAGTAATACCGTAATGAAGTAAATGATTGATTAAACTCCATCTTCTTCCATCTGGTTTCAAAGTAATCTTGAATTTATTTCACTAGTGTCATTCGGTTCTTTTTGTATATTAGTGGGGAGGACTATTGCTCAGTGAAGAAGGATATAACTTTACATCAGTGAGACGATCTTATCTTTCCATAGGGTTTTAGGTAAATGAACCTCCAGTGGCTGAGAATCTAGTGATGGCTTTTATGCATCGCAATGAAATATCAGAATATATTTCTGTGTTCCATCATGGTTGCCTGTTCCACATAAGGCGGTGTTTCAATTGTTTGTCCTTCAAATATTTTGGATTTCAAGTCCCAGAATCTCCAGCAGGGCATATGATTAGGGATTCTGAGAGTCAAAAGCTCTATTATGTTACCTTGCAATCATTTATGCAAGCAGTGATGAGTCTGAAAAGGAAAACAGTCCTTCCCACATATAGAGTCAACATACAAGCAAGAGTGAGAAAGAAGGAGTGGTAGTTTTGAAATTATTAAGGATGAATTGTTTGGTCTTCTTTCCATCTAAATCCAAGGAAGCTGTTTCTTTTCTAAATCAGTGTCTGGTGTCAGTAATGGACTGGATGAGGGCAAATAAACTGAAACTTAATCCAGACAAAAGAGAGGTGCTCTTGGTCAGTCAAAAGGCACATCAATGAATTCAATCTGTGTGAAAACACATGTGCACAGCTTGGGGATGCACCTGGATTCGTATCTGAGCCTGGATTCCCAGGTTTTGGCGGTAGCCAGGAGCACCTTTGCACAGTTAAAACTAGCGCACCAGCAGAGACCGTTTCTTGAGCAATCTGATTTGGCCAAGGTGACACATAGCCTAGTTACATCTCAGCTGAATTACTGTAATACACTCTATGTAGGGATGTCTTTGGAAGGTGTTCAGAAACTCCAGAGGACCCAGAATACTGCAGCCAGATTGTTTACTGGAACTGGTTACAGGGAAAATTTTAAAGAACCCATTTGCATCAGCTTCACTGGCTGCTAATCCATTTCAAGGCACAATTCAAAGTGCTACTTTCAATCTATAAAGTCCTAAATGGCTTGAGTCTAAGCTATTTTAAAAAACCGCATCTCCTTCTACAAGCCTGCCTGTGCATTAAGATCATTGTGGAGACATTTCTCTCAGTCCCACCACCCTCAGAGGCCTGCTTGGTGGGGACATGGGAGAGGGCCTTCTTGATTGCTGCTCCCAGACTCTGGAACTCCCTCCCACAGGAAGCCAGGCTGGCCCCATCTTTGCTGTCTCTCTGCAAACAGGCAAAGACTTTTCTTTTCAGGCAGGCTTTTCCTTAATGATTGACAATCTCATAGGGTTTTTTAAAATTGGCCTGTTATGCTCTGTTGTTTAAAAATTTTATTTACCATTTTTAATATTATAGAGTTTTAGTTCTTTTAAAAATATTTGTATACTTGCTGTGTTTAGCTTTTAAGTGCTGTCCTTTTAATGATGTAAGTCTCCTTGGGTCCTTCTGAGGAGAAAGGTGGGTTAGAGGTATTTTAAATAAATAAATGAGGACAAATATGTCTGGTTTTGGTTACAATTCAGTAATTTCACAGAGGGTGGGCAAGAAAACACTTTAGAGGTTTAACACATCATCACAAAGTTAAAGCATAGGCACATTACACAGTTTTCAGTTTTGGACTTTCAATGCTCAGTGCAAATTGTTGGGTCCAGTAACCTGCTTGATCTTGGAATACTGTTGTGCTATAACTGTGCAGATCAATGTTTTTGTTAACCCAGAGTGGGAAATGATCTGCTGAACAGCCCTTACTCAAATAAAAAACAAATTAAAGTGCAGGACACACTACTATGGGAACTGTTGAAAATTTTATGATACAAAGATAAATGCAAGGGATAAACTACAGGAAGGGTCCCCACCCCTGCAATTCTTAACGCGGTGGAAAATGGAGAAAGAAAACCTTATAAATGATGACGGATGCATTGCTGCTGCTGTGGCATTTATTTTCAAAGCCTAGGAAACTTTCTAACTACTAGCAGAATGTATGATTGTTTAATAATTTGGTCTTGGTAGTCTTTAGAAAGAAATTGGAAGATGATTCGGGATGAAGGGGTTGCTGTGCTGAACAGAGGCAAGGGGCTGTTTCTACCTGAAGATGAAAACTTGCGAGAAAAAGGTGACTGGAGCCAGTTCACTCTGTGGCAGCAAGGTATGGGGCACCTGCCTTTGTTATAATTTGATACCGATATGTGATTTTAGATGCATGTAATTTATTATTTTAACTGTGTTATGTAGATCAGTAGCCTTATCAAGCTCTTATGAAAAAAAGATGCTATAAAAATTAAATTGGTGGTGGTGATGATGTTGATCATAATAGTGTCTTTTCTGTGGCTTACTTCTGTCACTCAGTTTCCAAATGTAATAAAAAGTTATAATTAGGATTTTTATAAACATGAATGTATTATTGAGGAGCTAAAACCTAATTGGAAATAGCAGTAGCAACATGTACTTTCTTGCATAGGCCCAAATATATGATCAGCTACATTTTGAGCCTGGGAAGGAATTCTTTATTTCCCCATTTGATCCTGTGGGTTGTTGTGTTCTGCAATTTGTGACTAACCAGAGTCAGGTTTTAGGACACGCAATGCTGTAAGGCAAGGGTCACCCTGCCCATTGCCTGAGAGGTCCAGGCAAGTTACTTTAAGCTTTCTGAATCCTTCTTTGTTGTGTTTGTTCTCTGCTTGTAGCCCAGATGAATTATAGCCTTTCTAAGGCTTTGCTCACTTAGTTTTCTTCAGGACAGAAACAGGCAAGAGCCTAGCCCCGTCCTGTGTCTGGTGTCACTTTACTAATGGGGAAACTGACGTGCCTGCAGTGGAGAGGATCCTGTTCCTGTAGACACCCTCCAGTGCCCCTAATTTTCCAGAGTTTTGGCTCATGTGCAGAGCCTCCATGTGAAAAAGAACTTATCCTCTGCAGACCCTGATACTTACTGCGTGAAAGCAATGTGGATGGGTAGTCTTCTCCTTGCATGTTGGGGAAAGTTGGATGAATAATAGCTGGATCAGGCTTAGGCTGATCTGTATGGAGTTGGTTAACAGCTCCCTGCCTCCAGTATGTTAGGAATTGCAAGAAGGGGAAGATTAAATGGACTTTAATATCTCCTGACTCTGTTTCTATACCTTTGGAGTAACTCTCTGTGCAATATGACAAAAGTAAAGTTGCAAGTTTCACACAGAATCCTCTTTCCTATGTGTATCTATAGATGTATATCTTGTTTGATTTAATTTATTACATTTCCACTTGTGGAAGGCTTAAGGTTTGGTTTAAAGTTCATGGTGAGTGATGCACAATTACAAAGTGGCCTATGGGGAAGTCAGCTGGCACAGAAGAGGCATCTTTATGTCACAAACCAGATGAAATGCTGTCATTTGGAATTAATAGGAGAGAAAGTATCAAATCTTAATGCAGGCTACCATGGAAATCTAAGCACTGAATACTTTTTCAACAGGATAAAAACAATAGTATTAAAGCACTAGAAATATTCAGATAGTTCTGTTTGGTGTTCCTCTGTTCTGACAAAATTTCTTGTTAGCAAGGAGGTAGATGTAACAAATTAAATAAGGTGACTCTAAATGTAAATCCAGAATAAAAATCCCTGTATTCCATATAAATTCCATGCCCTTCCCTGCTAGGTTGTAATAACAGGTGAATATAAATTTGATTTTTTTGAAATTCATTTAATTATATTTTTATTCTACTGTTTTTGGAAAGAACTCAAAGCAATGTACATGGTTCTTCCCAAAACTTTGAAACAGCTTAGACTGAGAGAAGAAGGCTGTTTGTTGTTGTTGTTTAGTCGTTAAGTCATGTCTGACTCTTCGTGACCCCATCGACCAGAGCACACCGGGCCCTTGTGTCTTCCAGGCTGTTTGTACATGTGAAAAAAAAAATATCTGAAGTCATGCAGAAATCTTCATGGCGAGTAGACATTGTCTAGAGGGCCGGGGTAAAAATCAATCAATCAGTCAATCAATCAAACAAACAAACAAATAAACAAACAAACAAATAAATAAATAAACGAACGAACGAACGAATGAACGAACGAATGAATGGGAATTTGACCACACAGGTTTTCTGAATCCCACTCCAACACTCTACATAAGAGTTTCTATTCAGGCCCCTCTTCCCATCCCTCCCTAGTATTAGAAGGAAACAAAGAGGGGGGGGGAAACAGTTGTGTGCTTTTTTCAGTATGTCGGTCTTGGGAGCAGTTGTTTTAGGTGTCAAGGGCAGGTCAGCATGTGACTGTTTTGCGTGCCTGCTGGTAACATCTGTCTTCTTACTGAGATGGCATTTTAAAATGTGCTGAATAAATAGAAAATGTGAAGGTTGATTAGCCTTTTGTGCCCAGAATTCAAATTATGATTGCTTCTTATTCCGCCCACACACTCTAGGAAGAAAAAATGAAAATGCTTGTAAAAGTGTTCCCAAAACATGTGCCTTATTAGAACGATTCCCGGAGGCCACTGGATGTAGAAGAGGACAGGTACTAATTGAATCTGTTTGTATGCTTGCTTGCCTGCCTGCCTGCCTGCTTTAGATTCACATTAGTGAAATGGGTAATGACCAATGAAATTTTAAGGGAGAAGAATGTGCGGTAAGGATTGTAAAGTTCATGGCACATGTCATCAATTGAGATAGTAAATAGTACTATAAAAATAAGATGAGCCATACAAATAGGTATGGTTTGGTTTTTAGAAAGAATGTTGATATGATTCATCTAAACGAACGTAAGGAGTTTATAAACTAGGTCAAGACAGAATTTACCATATAAAGACAAAGTAGCAATGCCAGTTTTTATACGCAGTCTATGGATCTTGAAAGCATGAATGCATGTGAGGTAGGGTATCGTGCGGTCAATGTTCATATGTTTCCATCAAGTCCTTGTACTTCCAATGGCAAATTCAAGACAGCAGAAACAATTTTTACTCACTGTTAAGAGACACAGTAGATCTGAACAGCTGGAAGGCCATGCAAAACCTTTAAATAATTAAAAGTGTGTCTCCAAAGGAGGATTTTCAAATAGAGGTATGATGAAAATAGCCTAACTAGAGACTAAGTGCTGCCAATAAAGTGACTTGACCAGGAGTTGAAGACAAGAGGGTTAAAAATAAAGAATTATGAAAGATTTTTTTTTGTTTCAAGTGAATTTTTCAAATGAAAAATGTTTCAGATGAATTAATTCTGGGGTTAGTTTTTCTTGGTTCTCAGTTTGCCTTATTTTACAGACAGTGAGCAAGCCCCATTAATTAATTGCACTGTCGTTGAAGCTATGCAGGTCTTTTAAAAACTCATCTTAGTGACATTTCTACAAGAATACCATTTAAAGTTTTATTGGTGGTGATGTAGAGTGAGAAGCAAGAAGGAATGGGACTCACATGTCCTACTTTCTAGAAGACTGTTTTTTTTCCTTCATAGGGTGTTTAATCTATGTGTTATAGAAGGGGGAAATTGGTGGCTCGATCCTCTATGCAAACATTGGCCAGATTTAAACAACAAAAACATTTCTTATCTTATATCAAAAATTTCAATCTCTTTTGTATTTGAAAGAAAAAAATGAAATAATTCTACAGTAATTCGAAAAGATTCAGGTATAATTGAGATTGTTGTTATTTACTTTGGATTCATAGTTCAGATGCCTTTTTATCAGTAAGTAAATGGCTTGAGAAGTACAGCAAGAAGGCATGGCAGTACCGGTTTGTCAACTTGGATCGGATTGGATACTCTTGTACTCTCTAGAGTTACCGGCCTGGTATATTCTCGAAGGCTTTCACAGCCGGGATCTGATGGTTGTTGTGGGTTTTTCGGGTTCTTTGGCTGTGTTCTGAAGATTGTTCTTCCTGACGTTTCGCCAGTCTCTGTGGCCAGCATCTTCAGAGGACAGGAGTAGGAACTCACAGCATGGACAGAGTTCCTACTCCTGTCCTCTGAAGATGCCGGCCACAGAGACTGGTGAAATGTCAGGAAGAACAACCTTCAGAACACAGCCAAAGAACCCGAAAAACCCACAACAACCATTGACTGCCCTGGTGTTTTGGCGCTTTTTTAATAATTAAAAAAAATACCTCTCCTTGCAGATCAAATATTCTGTCATGCATCCGAAGACTCATGTCTGGCCTCACACAGGGCCTACCAACTGCCGGCTGAGGATGCACTTAGGCTTGGTGATTCCAAAAGAAGGCTGCAGGATTCGGTGTGCTCAAGAAACCAGGTATTTTTCTCTGTTATACTTGTTTGGTAAGCTTTAGTTCAGGAACTAAGGCACAAGGTCCATAGCAAGCAGAGTGAGACTGACAACCCTTTTTTTAAAAAAAGTTGTAGACTTTGGGCACAACTGTTGGAGTTTGGTTAATAAGCAGGACATAGGCAGAGAGAAAGGGCTGAGGGAGAGGCCTTATCACAACTCACCCTAGCAGGGTTTTTTTTTAAAAAAAAAAAATCTACCTCTTTTCTTTCCAAAACCTCAACATTCAAAACCTGCTTATGAGCAGCATTTATTCATAAATACCAAGCAACAGAAGTATCCATTAGAACCTTTGATCAGCAAAAATGTTTATAAACAGTTATTGTATATGGTAGTACAAAAAAAAGAAAAGAAAAGAATGCAAATCTTTCATGGGATTTTGTCCTCAGATGTACATCAGCACTGATTTACAAAAACATCAGAGTCCCTACTTCCTAAATAAGCCAATGCCATAGTGTGGAAATGTAGTCAAATAAAGGCATTAGGAATGTATGAACCTCTTCTTTTCAATCTTGCTTAGTTTCTCATTTTTCTAATCTTAAATTCATCTCACCTTGTTCAGGATGAGTTTGTAACCACATAACAATTAATTTTCCATTAACATAAGCTTTTATGCATATCTTTCTATTAATTTTAGTGCTTACTTTTTCCTGATAGGCATTTTGCTAACAATTTTCATTCCTATATACATAAAATATTGTGTTGCCCTTCCACTGTTAGGTTCATTTTATGTACATTTTTATTGGATATCTGTATTGCAAAATCTGGAAAATGGCTGTTGAAATATAACTGCAGTTCAGATTATGAATTGGTTGGGGAAACACAAATTACAGTAGCTTGCATTAAAATACAAAGCAAACCTATTTCTCACCCATTCTTAAAAGGCGGTTCTCAGAGGAGTAAAATTAACCAGTTACTTGTTAAAAATTGCATTGAGTTGTTTTGGAACTGATTTCAGAAGCTTTGGAATCGACTTAAAAATATCAGCCTGCTTTTGGGGGGGCAGGAGGTGTGGTTTTTGTTTGTTTGTTTGAACGTGAGGAAGAATAAACAGCTGCCAAGGACCTGTTTATTTTTAATTAAAATGTGAACTTGATTACTTTTGAATCATTTCAGCAAATGTGAATACCTCTGTTGGAGTAAATTGTGTCTATTGGATGCCAGGGTTTCAGGCTGCAGGAAACATTGCAGTACATTCTGTTGTTGTTTTTTCCCATCTGTAATACTGACGAACTGATATGCCAGTTTGAAATAAATTTTATACATGAGGATGCAGACACCAACCCAAATACCATATGACTGCCACATGACTTTAACTTGATTTCAAAATCCCAAACAATCATTTTCATAGTGCAACCACACTCTACGTTAATCAAATTAACCATATAAGTCAGGGGTGGGCAATTAATTTCTAGAGGGGGCCACATGAAAAACCTGAACTGTGTTCGAGGGCCGAACCAACTTAAAAATACAGTAAAATGAAAGAGCTAACTCACCTGTCCTCTGTTCCCCCGCGGCCTTCCTCCCCAACTGTCTTCTATCCCGCGCAGGCGACGTGATGCGTCATCACGTTGCCTGCCAAGGATCGCTTCCAGCCTCTTGAGCCACAGGCTCCACAGCTTGCGGCTCAAGAGTAACAGTCAAAACTTGCGAGATCCCAGCATCGGATCTCGCGGGTTTTGCTTACTGCCATGCTGGGTGACCGGAGCTGGAGCTCCAGTTCACTCAGCAGCAACGGGCGGGCCAGACTGGAGCGACAACTGGTGGGCCAGACAGGAGTGGCTTGCAGGCCGTATGTGGCCCGCAGACTTCACTTTGCCCAGGTCTGATATAAGTGGTAGTATCTGCTCAGTCATGGAAACTCCCTGGGGATGTAGAACTTGTAAAAAAAAAGGTAAAGGTTCCCCTTGACAATTTTTGTCCAGTTGTGTTTGACTCTAGGGGGCGGTGCTCATCCCCGTTTCCAAGCCACAGAGCCAGCGTTTGTCCGAAGACAAATCTTCTGTGGTCACATGGCCAGTGCGACTTAGACACGGAACGCTGTTACCTTCCCACCGAGGTGGTCCCTATTTATCTACTTACATTTGCATGCTTTTGAACCGCTAGGTTGGCGGGAGCTGGGACAAGCGACGAGAGCTCACTCCGTTGTGTGGATTCGATCTTACGATTTCTTGGTCTTCTGACCCTGCAGCACAGGCTTCTGCGGTTTAGCCCGCAGTGCCACCACGTCCCTAGAACTTGTAAAACCATTCCTTAAATACCTCACTTACTTGAAAGCCCTGTTAGGATTGCTACAAGTCTGTTCTGATTTGAAAGTACAGTACATTAAAAGGGGCATCATAGGCAATTCCTATACAGTATTTCTTAGATCAAGAGTCTAGATTTTAGCAGTATAGACTTATCTGTCTACCGCAAATCAGCTCCACTAAGTTCAGCTATCTCAGGGTAGAAATTTGGCTCAAGATTGTTATGGGTGTATAGAAAAATTCCCAAGCCAATTGCAATAGTTTCTTCTGCATCATAAATCATGATGATACTATTTTAGAATTCTACCTTTGCTATTGGTACCATAGAAACATAGTTAGCAATTGAAAAGGCAAGGTAGAATCATACATGTCAGTCATTTTCATAACATGGTGTAAAAGAGAGATTTTCCGGGGAATCAGCTGGTTACTGTACAATATTTGGAAAGCAGGCATTTTTCAGTAATTAATAATGTGACTGCTGCTCCTGCTGCCAGATTGTTGGATTCTTGCCATCGCATACATCATGTAAATATTGTGCCACAGCTGTCAGCATGGCCACCATTTACTCTTACTGTGTCTAATGACTGACAAGACTGCTCTTTCCAAACATTCACAAAAGCAGAGGGCTGTGTTGCTCAGAGGCCTGTTAATGAGATGTGGAATTTACCTCCTCCTAATCATCATTATGCATTCAGACCTGGTGATAAATGAAAGTCAGTATCTGTAGGACAGCTGTTTTGATCATCGGTATGGTTGTATTATCTCTTTTCAAACAGAACAGATGTTTGCCATTCTCAGCCCATCTCTAATGTATCTTCATCTCAACTGAAACTTTGGCGGCAGAAAGAGCTAATGTAGAAGCAATGATGTCTGTGGGATAATCGTAGTTTAAAAGGCTCTGGATCCTCTGGATAGGCAGAGTCTCTCCATGTTGTTCCCCTCCCAGCAGGTGAAGACATTGCTATGTGGGCAGACTTTGGGTATCTAAGACGACATGTCGCTGAAGCAAATTTTAATCCAATGGGTGCTACTCGTTCTATTTATTGATGTTGTTTGATATTTTGATTGGGATATGTTTTTGTTCAATAAGTCTTAATGTTTTGATCATAATGTTGTTGCCTTAATTGTTTTATTTGCATTTTATTTCCACTGGGGTACCAGTGTTAATCTGTTGTAATAACAAGGAGTCTTGTGGCTATACCAAATAAATCTTGTTCATCTTTAAGATGGTTCAAGACTTTTTGTATGTTTTTGTCATCTACTTTGGGCACTAATTTTAGCAGAAAGATGAGACATTAACTGATTGATCGCTTGATTGGCTGAGTGATTGACTAATTCATTAAGAATATGGAGCTGACTGAAGGGTCACATGTGTGCTGTTCCATCGTCTTCTTTCAGTAGGTTTCTCCTGAGAGGTCTAACTACTGTATCATTATTTCCAAAATGCAATAAGGTCATTTGAAACATGTTAAGAATAACTGCAGTTAGGAATAACCAGATTTCAGATCCTGGGTTAAACAGTAT